ATCATTTTTGTAAAGTTCTGAGTTTTCCTTTAGGATTTACAGGCTTTGGGGGCTTTTTGTCACGCCCCCTTTTGTAAATGACCCTGTTATAGCAAGACAAATGACAAAGTTGAACTTTTTTTGGATAATTATTGATCAAGAGAGTCCAAAGAATTATCCTAGACTAGTCTGGTTCCGATCGGGCAAAAAACCAGGGACTAGTTCGCAAAAGTAGGTTTTTAACATATTCGTGAATATTTAACGAACGAATTGATTGACAGCAATGGTTCTTGAGGCAAAGTTGTTCATCATGAGGAGATCTATCAATTGATATACATTTTTTGGGGTGTGTGCAACACCACGTGATTACAGAGCAATAAACTCGTTAGCGCCAACTAGTGGCCGATTTTCTTTCAAATTTTTACAGACCTCTAGGGCCATGAGTCGAACATTCCCAACGAGTTTCGTTCGATCGGCCTTCGTTAACCTTGTTCATAGATGCTCAAACTTCATTGGCCGATGGCGGCCATGTTTTTTGAGATACACCATGTCCTTATAGACTTACATGAGGCCTGGACCAAGACACTGCATACCAATTTTCAAGTCAATCGACTGACGGTCAGGTGTTTATCTGTTTTTTTCATTTTATAGCGCCACCTAGTGTTCAATCGTCGCGATTTTTTTACTGTCACCTCAATTGAACTCTTACACATGTGTACCGAGTTTGTGAAGATATCTCATTTACTTCTCGAGCTATAGCCATTTTACTAAAATAGGCTCCTCCCACAACGTTTATTTTGCTTCCCCTAGCGACCCGGAACGAGAAATTTCAACATTTTTTTGATAATTATTAATCTTCAGACTCCAGAGAACATTTCTGCACTGGTTTGTTCCGATCGGGCAAAAATTCCAGGGACTAGTTCGCAAAAGTAGTTTTTCGACAAAATTCAAAATGGCGGAAATCTATCATGACGGAAATGAAATCGGAGATATACGTTTTTTCGTCAGGTGACCAGCTTTCCAACGATATTAAGACACTTGAGTGTACGACTTACGGTCTAGGAGTATGAGCAGTTTCGCGCAATTGGTCGCTATAGCGCCACCTATGGGCCAATCGGGCTCATAATTTGATAACCTCCTCGATTTTTTGTATACCATCTGACAAAGTTTCAGAACTGCAGCACTTACGGTTTGGTCTGCACGATGCGTTTTACGGCAGAATAATAATAATAATAATAATAATAATAATAATAATAATAAAAATCAATACAATTACAATAGGGTTTCAGCACTTCGTGCTTGAACCCCTAATAATAATAATAATAATAAAAATCAATACAATTACAATAGGGTTTCAGCACTTCGTGCTTGAACCCCTAATTAAAGCTGCAAGCAGCATTTTAGCGGGGTTCAAGCAGTTTAGGCCTTTAAGGCCTTAAGCACAAAAGCATCAAAAGACATTAAGTTTTAAGTTTCAATAATGGCAATTTATTATAGGGTATACATTGTTTTTTAATATTTTTAACAATAATAGCGCCACCTATAGTCCGATCTCCATGAAACTTTGCATGCTTGTTGAATACGTTATGATACATGTGCTCATCAATTTGTGAAGTTCTGACTTTTTCTTTGATTTATAGCTTTTGGGTGCATTTTGTCATGCCCCTTTTTTTAAATGACCCTTTATAGCAAAACAAATGACCAAAGTTCAACTTTTTTGATAATTATTGATCTAGAGAGTCCAAAGAATTGTCCCAGACTGGTCTGGTTCCGATCGGGCAAAAAACCAGGGACTAGTTCGCAAAAGTAGGTTTTTAACATATTTGTGAATATTTAACGAACGATTTGATTTGACAGCAATGGTTCTTGAGGCAAAGTTGTTCAGCATGAGGAATCTATCAATTGATATACATATTGTGGGGGTGTGTGCAACACCACGTGATAAACAGAGCCATAAAACTCGTTAGCGCCAACTAGTGGCCGATTTCTTTCAAAAATTCTTACAGACCTCTAGGCCATGAGTCAAACATGCCCAACGAGTTTCGTTCCGATCGGCCTTCGTTAACCTTGTTTTATAGGTGCTCAAACTTCATTGGCCGATGGGGCCATGTTTTTTGAGATACACCAATGTCCTCATACACATGACATGGGGCCTTGGACAAAGACACTGCATACCAATTTTCAAGTCAATCGGACTAACGGTCAGCTGGTCAGAGCCCTTTTTTAGTTTTATTCGTTTTATAGCGCCACCTAGTGTTCCATCGTGGGGATTTTTTTACTGTGACCTCAAATGAGCTATATACATATGTGTACCGAGTTTGTTGAGGATATCTCATTTACTTCTCGAGTTATAAGCCATTTTAGTAAAATAGGCTCCTCCCACAACATTTATTTTGCGCCCCCTAGCGACCGCAAAGAGACTTTTTCAACATTTTTTGATAATTATTGATCTTCAGACTCCAGAGACATTCCTGCACTGGTTTGGTTCCGATCGGGCAAAAAACCAGGGACTAGTTCGCAAAAGTAGTTTTTCGACAAAATTCAAAATGGCGGAAAAAATTCCATACCGGAAATGAAATCGGAGATAAACGTTTTTTCGTCAGGTGACCAGCTTTCCAATGATATAAGACACTTGAGTGTACGACTTACGGTCTAGGAGTTATGAGCCGTTTCGCGCAATTGGTCGCTATAGCGCCACCTATGGGCCAATCGGGCTCATATTTGATAACCTCTCCTCGATTTTTGTACTACCATCTGACAAAGTTTCAGAGCTCTAGCCCTTACGGTTTGGGCTGCACGATGCGTTTTAGGGGAGAATAATAATAATAATAATAAAAATCAATACAATTACAATAGGGTTTCAGCACTTCGTGCTTGAACCCCTAATAAAAATCAATACAATTACAATAGGGTTTCAGCACTTCGTGCTTGAACCCCTAAATATTTTATCGGATGTGCCTTTCGTTTACACGGTGACGGCGTTTTTGAAGCTTAAAAACTATACTAGTAACATAGTACACTCCACTATTTCACTCACACTACATTTCGCATTTCACACACTTTTGCGTCACCATTTGCACGCGGATTTCCCACCCAAAACACTCGTCTAAACGCAGAATAAAAAGTGATAACGCAACGCCACTTTTGCGTTTTCTCTTCAGAATCGTTTCCGTGTAAATATAGCCTTAGATGACCTCTGTTTTAATTCAGATATTCTAATAGGTACTGTTCATAATTCTATAATAATAAAAAGGATAAATTAAACGATAGCAAATATAAATGTAAAGACTGCAAAATGAGGGGAAAGGGGGGTTATTGAGAAGTAACTGGAAATCAGTTCACAAGTTCGGCTACACTATAAAAAATGCTGAACCCAAATTTGGGTAAAATATGGACAAACCCAAATGTTGGGTTGAAAATGTAATTGAAAAAATGTACAGTTGAAAGTGAAAGTTGAAAATGTGTTAACATTTTAAATTACATCTAGGCCTATAACCCAACATTTGGGTTTGTCCATTTTTTGACCCACATTTGGGTTAAAACAACCCAGCATTGTTTAGTGTACAGGGGCAGGGCAATGCCATACTCGAAATATGAAATATGCTTGAAATATGTCAATTTTGGGTTCTGGTGTGACAGGGATTCATACAGGTTGCGTGAACAAACACAGTGATAAGTTACTGCTGATGAAGCTCAAATGGAGCTCTGTTCTGATGATAGAGACCTAAGCCACTTAGATAACATCCTCTGTATATTAGCATAGTACTCAGAACCTACTGTTTGACACTCTGTTTGCCCATTAGAGATGAGGTGGTTAACTCTATCCAAAGTACAAAAAAATTGTTAACTCAAAAATCATAAAGAGAGTGCATCAAAGATGTACACATATATATTTTGACAATTTTTAAATATAGCTATTTTTTAATTGGGCCTATAGGTTTATACATCTATTTTCTTATCTAAAGAATTTCTTATTTGAAATTTAGGTAGTGTAGCAGGAAGCAGTCAAGATTTTAGGACACATATAACCTAAATTTTAGTGGAAAATGTTTTCCACATCATGTTTACATTTTTGTAAAGAAATCAGGATAATGGTTCATTTATGAATACTAAAATGAAATGTCTGTAGTTCTCAGTCAATATTAGCATAAGCTAATCAAGGCAATTTTACTCAAGAATGTGAGGAGTTGAGTAAATCAAGGGACAAAGATAACTGATTGATCAATGACCCCTGACCGGTGATGGACCTTTTCCACGACAGCAGTTGATAATATTTTATTTGGAGCCGAAGGAGGTGGAGATCAAGGTTTGCTACACGTTGCCAAATCTGTTATGACACTGAGATGTAATCACATGGATTTGTTGTGTTGAATAACGAACTGCTTAATCACAAACTAATAAATGCCTGATTGTTCTGCAACTAAGCATAAAAAATAATCTAAAAATATCGCTATATCTGTTTTTAATAGCTGAATTACACAATTTAATTGGCATGAATTAATTTACAGTTTCCTGCTTCAATCCTGTAAAGTGTATTAGGGAAAAATCGATTTAATATTTGCCCTCAGAATCATTGTTTGATGCAATTAAACATCTACATTTTGATTTACAGTGGTTTATCAAAGCAGTATATAAAAAATATTTTCAGAAGATTACAAAAAAAGAAAGATTTTATCTGACAGTAAAATATAATAGAATATATTACATGTAATTTGTGTTTTGTGAGACTGACAGTGCATTGACGTGTCTAAAGATATCTAAAATGTCTTTTATTGCACCTACCCTTTGAACCGCTGATGTGTAAGAGGACAGGGTTTCAACTCCACACGCACTGTTCCTGCCCTATATAAGACCTTTGCATCGGCTGTCCGTCCTCGAACTTTCAGAGAAGCAAAACTCAGGTAAGGGTGCAAACCAGCAGGAGAGCAAAATTGGATCAAGATCATTCTGAATGCAGAGGCCAGGAGTAAAGAGAGAAAAAATAAGAGAACATAGATATTAGCATAGACACAGTTAGCACAATGTTTTTTTGTAATATAGACATTGCTAAAAAAGTACTTTGATAATATTAAGAGTGTTCTCTTTCAGGGCTCAACCATGAAATTCGTGGCTCTTGCACTGACTCTCCTCTTGGCTGTGGGTAAGTAACATGCCCGACTTCACATTTCACTTAATTAAATGTCATCTAATTTTTTCTTTAGTATTTTACATTTACTTTAAGTTCAACCACTTAAAAACTCAAGAAGTGGATGATTTTGTTAATGCTTTGGTTTTTAGGTTGTCAATTTGACCATGTACAGTACATGTTTCTTTACAAAGTTTAAAGAGCTTGAGTTATGAAGCTTTTCCTGTCTCCTTAGGTTCCCAGGCCCGTTTCCTGCAGGCTGATGCTCCCTCCCAGCTGGAGCACTTCAAGTCAGCAGCCTTTATGTACCTGACCCAGGTCAAGGAGCAGACTCAGAAGGCTCTCGACAACTTGGACGGAACCGACTATGAGCAATACAAGTAAAAGACACATCTGATCATGATGAAAATAAAATGTAAAATGATTTCATTATGAAGCAAATTTCATTTTAGCAGTAAAGTTGAATAACTGAAGCTCATGCTGCAAATCTCATCCATTTTGAAACAAGTTAATTTCATGTGAAAACGCGAGGAATCAAATCTCCATTAGGTGACAGTTGAGATAAACCAGGTTCAGTCAGGAGGTCAGTTCTCCTCTGGTCTTAGTGAATGAGCACAGTGTTTTTTGATTCCAGGCTTTCACCTCCAGCTGAAACTGAAGCGATTTGTGTTTGCATTTTCTAAACGTATGTTCTGTTTTCTTCAGATTGCAACTTTCAGAGAGCATGACTAAGCTTCAGGAATATGCCCAGACTCTGACCCCCTACGCTGAGACCTTCTCCAACCAATTCCTGGAGAACACCAAGCAGCTGCAAGAGCGCGTCATGACCGACATTGAGGACATCAGAACCAAGCTGGAGCCCCACCGAGCTGAGCTGTCCCAGGTGGTGCAGAAGCACTTTGACGAGTACCGTGACAAGCTGGAGCCCCTGTACCAGGAATATGCCACCCTGAACCGTGAAAATGCTGAGCAGATGCGTGCCAAGCTGCAGCCCCTGTTAGAGGAGATGAGGCAGATGTTTGAGACCAACTTTGAGGATACCAAGTCCAAGCTTGTGCCGATGGTCGAGGTCGTACGCACTAAGCTGACAGAGAGTCTGGAGGATCTGAGGTCCATGGCCGCCCCCTATGCTGAGGAATACAAAGAACAGCTGGTGAAGGCTGTCGAGGAGGCCAGGGAGAAGATCACCCCACACACCCAGGACCTCCAGGCCCGCATGGAGCCCTACATGGAGAATGCGAAGGCCAGGTTTGCACAGGTGTATGACACCATCTCCAAGGCCATCCAGGCATAAAAATGCTCAAGGACTCTGCACACTCGGATCCTCAGACAACAGCAAAGCACAGATTTTCTTGTGTTTGGTGGTGTAAAGACTGTAGGTGCAAGAGTTTTGAGATGAATGTTTATTATGTTCAAGTTAAATAATCTTTGACTAAACAATGCAAACAAATAAAATGCACAAAAAATATATTTTTTCGCTTCAAAGAGTTTTCTTCCCTTCTGAAACAACATGGTACCTATATGACGATCATAATAATAGAGTTTTCATTGTGAACATTATAATTCATAATCATAATAAATCTTTAGTAGAAAAAAAAGAGTAACTACCAGTGATTACACTGCAAAAAAAAGGACATTAATGAATTTATTTTTCTTCTTTAATGCATAAAACTCTCCACGTAAAGGCCTCTGTATTAATTTATTAAAACACAGAAATATATAACAGCAACATTTTCCAGGTAAGCAGTTTTAAATCACTAGGAAAAGTTGTTGAAGTGAAAAGAACATTTTTTATTCTGTTTAGGAGTTTGTGTCCATGTCACATGACCTTTAGAAAAGCTTACATAATGAGGATTATACTTGAGGTTAAGTTTGAAAATCTTTGTAATAACACTGAATACTGAAAAAATTCATATAGTAAGGATTTCCATTGATCAGCAAAGTAACTAATTAGTGTAATTACATACTGTCCTTTATAATAATAATAGTCAACTCTGACAGGGAATGGAACGATTTATTTTCTAACATTAACCATAGTTATAATGGAATTAAAAAAACTTAATTCACACTTGAATATAACTATTAATATCATCATTCCACTTAATTTTTCGCAGGTATTGGCTCAACTATGATTGTGATTGGGTTCTCAGTTCTCATTTGGATGGGCAGAAAGGACAAGAGTTATTCTTGCTGGTCTTGAGCCAAACACTGACACACTAAATAAAAGGAGAAACAACCACATTTATTAGAACACATAGACAAAGTAAAAAAATGTGCCTAAATGTGTATTTGGTGAAAGTTACACACTCACTTCTTTGTGCATTATATGGGAGCAGTTTATGTTGTACTGACTTCCAGGATCCACAAGATTCTGACACATCAAACAAAACTTCCGCATAGAGGACTGACAGAGAGACAGAGAAAAAGGGCTTGTTTACATAGTTCTAAAAACAAATGACAAAAATAATGAAATGTGTTTCAATATATTCAAATTATCTGAAAACTAAATGTTTCCTGGTTGGTTTATGAATATAATTTAAATTGTACTGTAAAATATAGCAGGGCTTTGAAATGAGATTATATGTGTCATATGTGTTCCAAAGATGAACAAAGTTCTTACGGGTCTGAAACGCCATGAGGGCGAGTAATTGACAAAAAAAATATATATATATTTTTGGGGGAACTAACCCTTTAATATTATTATTAGAAATGCAAAAACATCCACATATAATGGGGCAATTTGTCTAACTTTTGTTCATTTTATTTTTTATCAAGTCTTATTTTTATGACTCTGCTTTCTTATTTTAGCTGACAGCATTCTGAAGTAGGCATTTTTTAAAAATCTTTGTATCATTTCTCCTCACTACTCACAACTTTAGCAAAATATGGCACAGCTTACCCGACTCTCCCCAATAGTCCTGACTATTAAATGCGTTTAAAGGAAAGGCTTTTAAAGGGACTATGTGTAACTTTTTATGTAATCTATTAATTAAAATCAATATTTTTATTCAGAAATATGTCTTCAATGGTGTACAAATACATCTGCCAATTATCTGACTTATCCTCGTAAACGAATAATTTATTATCTTTAAATATATGGGATGGGTAAGTCCAAGGAGGCTTCCATGTCATTCCGCCATCTTGAAAAACTATAATACCAGAGACGGACATAAAGTACGCGGCCAACGCGTTTCCGTTCAGAGCCAACACGACGTGACTGCAGAAGCGGAGGAGCAGTGTAGTGAGTGACGCTTCACTGCCCCGGCAAGTTTAAAAGCTGCATTGCAAATTCTCATCACCAGAAAAGTCCAAAAATAGACTGTAAAAGGAAACGTGACCGGAGATTACAAAAAACACAAGTTAATGTCGGGATAGCTTTTTCCAGGTGATAGAGCTAATGCAGGAGAAAGAGTTCAAAAGAGTCCTGCTTTCTTCTCGACAGGTAAGTCAATGCTACAGTCTGAATTACAAGTTTTTTTCATTGTTTAGTTGTGTACTTTATTATACAGACAAATGAACATTTATAGTTTAAAGTTGATGATATCTAATGCACTTAGGCTACTTCATAAAATATAACGAATAAAGAAGCCTTAACTACTTATTACAATAGTTCATGTTTTTCACAGTCAGTAATTCATACTGTAATTCGTTGTGTCAGGTTGCTGTTTGTTTGAAATAACAAACCTTTCCACATGAAGGAACACTCGACAAAGTGCTAATCCTGTCATGGCTTTTTGGTACATAATAGTTACCATAGATGCAACGCACATTTCAAAAAACAAGGAGCTGGAGAGCACAATTCGTCTGAATGCAAAATACATTATCACCGCTAGATGGCAGCAATTCCTACACATAGTCCCTTTAAAGTTGAATTTACCTGTGGCGGTCTTGTGTGGAAAACCTGAGCAACTGGGGGACGGAAATGAGGCCTCATGGGATGTGGTGGCTGGGCTATAGGGCGCTGGATCGGACCAACTGAAGCAGGAAAGGCTCTAGCTCCAGACGGGGGTGCTATAGGTCCTGGTGGCTAAAAGGACAGTGATAAAGTTAAAAAAAATGAAATAAGCAATGCACAGAAGGAAAGTAACAAACATAACGAGGAAGAGTGAGAGGAGTGTACTGTCGCACCGGTCTTTGGTTCTGCGCAAGTCTGAGCGCAACCTGCTGAGTTAAATCATCCATCGACATGCCAGCCATAGTACCACGCTCACTCTTGATTTGCTGTAGAACACGTGTTAACTGATCTCTAAAACAGACAGAAACACAGAGGTCACTTTCAGTAAGCTATCCTTACTCTGACAATTTCAGAATCAACAAAAAGACAAAAACTCTACTAATTAGATTGGCTGCTAAAAGCGTAACCAAGCATATATTACGGTGTATAATCTCAATACCTTGTGCATTGTGGGAAATGTGAGCCCAGTCTCTCCAGAAGCTTGTCCAGTTTGCCTGCAGGTGCAGGATTAGAGGGAAGGGGCTGGGGGGAGGGGTTACGTGTAGACATGGTTTGCATGAACGTTTGGGGAAGGCGCACTGCAGCGTGGGGATGAAAACTGCCACCATGATTATTTGATAATAAAGGAAAGGTGCCTGCTGAAGCAACTGAGGGTGCCAGGGAGACACCTGAACCACCTACGTGTGTCTGTGGATGGATATGTGGGTCTGGCATGACAGGAGCATGGGATGACATTTGAGGCCGGCAGATGGCTTGCATGGGTATTTGAGGGGCTGCATGAGTTGTCATAGGGACATACATGTTTGGGGCGTGAGAAGATTGTGGACCTATAGTGACGGGTACGTATGCTGTGTTTTGAGGAGAAGGGGCTGAAAGTGGTGGTGTGGCTCTTTGTGGTGGTGTGACCGAGGGGTGGAATTGGGGATGAACTATGGGGGGAGAAGTTGTGGTAGTTGGTGGACCACTATTGAAAATTGGATGAGAAGCAGGATTCTGAAGTGGACTGATTATCATCTCCAACTTCGGAAAGCCAGAGATAAATGACACACACAAAAATATACATTACTTACATTATTCTAAACTATGCAAAATAATTACAATACAACTTAACACTGTATTCTGTCCTAAGCACCAACACTAGGGAACATCCAGTTTATATAAGATGATTTGCCACCATATAGAAATGCTTTTTTTTTTTTTTTTAAATAAATCAGTAAATTTTACAAATAAAAGGATAAAGTACTTTTAATTAGGAACTTAACTGATGCAAATGTAAATTGCATGTGAATTGATAGTCTGAAATTAGATTCACAAAACATATGAAGAGTTCAGATGCAAAAGCCTCTAAATGCCATTTGAAATTTTCTTCTAAAATGATCATTTTTATCAAGCTTGTATATTTAAGTTCAGTAATTTCACTTAAATGGCAATTAATAGGTAATCTTAATTGCCATTTAAGTGAAATTACTGAACTTAAATATACAAGCTTGATAAAAATGATCATTTTAGAAGAAAATTTCAAATGGCACTTAGAGGCTTTTGCATCTGAACTCTTCATATTATAAATATAAATTATGACTCTGGATGGGCCATATTCAGACAGTACTAAAACAGCCACTCTACCAGATTATCAATTCTACAATAACACGGTATATGGCATAAAACAGTAGCACCATTTAAAAGTTTGGATTTAGTATGATTTTTGAATGGAATGGCCGTATATGAATAAATTGACACTCACTGTAGGGACTGCTGGAAGTAATGGGAGCGGGACTGAGGGCAAACTGTCCAACTGTTCACCTCTCTGCAGGAGTTGATGGTTTTCATTAAACTTATTCTATGTAAGAAAAAACGAAAGACAGAGTAAGGCCATGTCCACACTAATACGTTTTCGTTTGAAAATGTATATTTTTCTCTCCGTTTTGGCCTTCCGTCCACACTGAGACGCCGTTTTAAGTCACCAAAAACGTATCGTTTGGAAAACGCTCTCCAAAGTGGATAAATTTGAAAACGCCGTTTTCGCGTTGTAGTGTGGACAGTGAAACCGGAGGTATTTCAAAACGATGATGTAAGTTTAGTCATGTGATCCATGTAGTACCAATAGATATTCATGTTTATCGGTATTGTGCCTGCTATGTGTTATTCATTTTTACACTGTTGCTAAAATATGTTACTTTCTATGTTACTTAGTGCTATTCTTCATAGCACAGTACTGCAAAGATGACATGTACTCACATTTGCTGTCCTGCGGCAAAACAGGAGTTACGTTTTAGACCAAATATGGTGACTGAATGCGACCTGGATGCATCAGTGATGGTGAGATATTTTGCTAAATAAAATGATCCCGTTAGAAGAATTGCGCAATAACTTTATTATTTATTTCCCCCTCTGTAACGTCTCAGTGAGCTTCCGTGAAGTTTCACGCATGCGCAGTAAAGTGAATTTAGAAGTTTCTCATCCACACTGAAACGTCAGAAAACGCTAGTGTGGACGGAGAGCGTTTTTAAACGAAAACCCCGTTTTCAAATGTATCCGGATTAATGTGGACGTAGCCTAAGAAAAGCTGCAAACTCTCTTCACCTGTAACCCACTGGTACAGTTAGCTCCTCCCCTCACCTTTAGTCCTACCAGACTGCTGCGGACCATTGCTACATTGTGCTCCCACTTCTGCTGCTGGTGCAGGTGCTGCTGGGAAGGATTTATTCTGTCAAGAATAAGCAAAAATCCTTAAGGATTCACATCAGCTTCATGCATGCGGACATACGGCATGTGCATTCCTATCAACCAACATTAATTCACACACAGTACCTGAGAAAATTAAGATATTTTTCTGCGTCTACGATCCAGTCCTCCACTTGAGAAAGCGCAAGCTCTTTCTGCATCTCAAGTGCAGCTATCTGCTCACACAGACACATGGACAAATACACAGTCAGACAATAGCATACACGATTCATTACACTATCTGTGAGTTTTCTACAAGACACATGCTGTGAAGGAGTTACCTCATCCTGAAGAACGGTCTGACTGGCTTGCTCTGCCTGTCTGCAGAGCGTTTCCATTTCCACCCTCAAGTCAGCTATTTCCTGCTCCCAGGAGAGCCTGCCACAATCACAAGCACAAAAAAAGATAAAGACACAGATCCTGAGGCATTTGGGTGTTTCTCCTTTCATGTTTGGAATCTTTTACTTCTCTTGACTCTGTTCCTCAATCAGCATCTTGAGTTTCTTTTCTGTGTCCTCCAGCTCCTGAGCCAATCTAAAACAAATAAATATTGTTTTAAATTCAATTAATACAATCTATCCAATACTACATACTACCATTTTAAAGTTTATGGTCAGTACAATTTGTTTAACTTGTGACAGTAACAACACCAATAATGCTACAAAAGATTTCTCTTTCACATAAATGCTGTTCTTTGGAACTTTCTATTAATCAGAAAATACCGAATAAAATGTATCTGATTCGGTTTTCACAAAAATATTAAGCAGCAATATTATTGAATTAGGACAGATCAGGTTACACTGAAAACTGGAGTAATGAAGTTATCTTCGCTATCACAGGAAAAAACTACATTTGAATATATATATATATAGTTCAATAGATTTCACAATATTACTATTTTTACTGAATTTTTGCTCAAATAAATGCAGGCTTGGTGAGCATAAAAATCTTCTTTCAAAAGCATAAAAAAATGACAGACCTTTGAATGATATATGTTCTGCCCACAGCAGACAGCTGAATATCATACGTATTTTACTGTCAGTTTACCTTGTTTTCTCCTCTTCCATTCGATCTTTCTCTGCAGTAAGCTCTTGCCGTTTTACCATGAAGTTTTTCCGTGTGGTCTTGCTGCTGTTTAGCTCCAATTTAATTTGCAAAGACTCAATTTTTTCAATAAAACCCTGTACAAATGATTAAAAAAAGCAATTTCCATACCAATGAAAAATAGGCTCAAACAGTACAGTAATACCAGAGTTTTTGACAAAGGACACTGCACACAGTATTAACATTCCCTATTGAGTTCAATGGGAGATTTTTAGCACCTTTGCTATTCAATTGACCATGTGTAAATATCAGAACATGTATAGACTGAATATATTGGTATTTTTTGAAGTTCAAATGTGATGCTAAACCTGGTACTGATGATTTCTCTCATCTCTTGTCTTTTCCAGACTCTGGACACAGATGTTGTGCTCCTCCTGCTCTGCTGTATGTTGCTTCACAAGAGCCTCATACTGTTCATTCAAATCAATACTGCAGTCTTCTAGAGCACGCTAAAGAAAAAGAGATAAAGAAATATACACACTGGTGTCTAAAAGTCTGAGACCAGTTAATCTAGTTAATAAACAGAACAGTTGTAGGACTAAAAGTCAAAAAAAAGACATTCCTTTAAAAACAAAATATAGTTATAAGTATGTAATGAAACATATTTATTAAATAAAGTAAGATTAGAAAAATACAAAATAGAAAAACACTTTCACTTCTCAGACATTTGAAACACACTGTACACAAACATCTGGTAAACATTTGTAAACTCTACAAACAGTAAAAAAAAAAAAAAAAAAAGTGCAGGGCTATGGCATAATTGTTTCCCAATTCACATTTGCTAGAAAGCTAGTATGACAAATCTCTTGAAAGAACAACAACAAGGTTGTTCTGTCCAGCAATAAAAGGCTAATGTCCCAAACACACACACATTTTAAATCATTTTTCACTATATTTGTGGGCACAAACTTGGTGCTTACTAGTAAAACTTGTACACACACACACACACACAGACCATGACTGTGAAGAGTACCTGCAGTAGGGTGCTGAAAACTTACTATATCTGCTTCCCAGTCTTCATTTGTATTTGTAGATCTTTCCTCTGTCCAGTCCTCTGTCTATGGTGAAGATAACAATTAAACTACATAGACGATCACTTTTGTGAAATGTGTCATCAGGAGGTTCTTCATACCTGTACGGTTTGGCTCTGTGCTTCATTGGAGGGTGTGAAAGTGCTGTAATCTTGCTCTTCATACTGGCTGAATACTGCTGGTAAGCTGCTCTCAGTGGACCAGGGCCCAGCTGATGAGCTCCATGGTGAAGGATCCGGCGGAATCACTGCAGAAACGGGGTCCCTGCCAAGAGAACAGAGACAACCGTGCTGCTGAACCATTACAAATAGAAACAATTTTACAATCCAATTAAGCTGTTTTGCACTTACTGAAGTAAGTCTTCATCTAAAGCCGAACTCCACTCGGTGTGTATTTCACTTTCCATTTACAGGCAAACTCAGAGACAAAAGACTCTGGATCTAAAAAAAAACAAAAACAATATTCACTTTAAAACGTTAGCGTAAGTATTTTGATTAACTTAATTTATAGCTGACAACAGACTAATTTTAAATGACGTTGGTTATATCCAGTAAATTATGAGCGCCAAAAGCAGTTAGCGAAAGAGCACATAAATTAAACTCACACTAAACATTAAAAGAGCTGGTCTTGATGTTCAAATAAGTAACAGTATACGCCAAATATATGTAATTAAATCAATGAAGAGACTAGTGATGGTTTTTTTTAAAAGGCAAAGACAACCGGCGCAACTTTCATGACATCATATAAACCTATTTTACTTCCGGTGTTACAGTATATCCAGTTCCTGAAATATTTGGTTCCAAAATCAGTTCCTGTAATATTTTGGGTGGACTAGACGTAAACTATTCCCAAATTGCAAAATCAATATATATATATATATATATATATATATATATATATATATATATGAAGAGTTCAGATGCAAAAGCCTCTAAATGCCATTTGAAATTTTCTTCTTTAAAAGTTCAGTGATTTCACTTAAATATACAAGTTTGATAAAAATCATCATTAAAGAAGAAAATTTCAAATGACATTTAGAGGCTTTTGCATCTGAACTCTTCATATATATATATATATATATATATATATATATATATATGAAGATATATATTTAGATAGATAGATGGATAGATGGATAGATAGATAGATAGATAGATAGATAGATAGATAGATAGATAGATAGATAGATAGATAGATAGATAGATAGATAGATAGATAGATAGATAGATAAGCGAGTGAATATAAAATAATTTTTTTCCTAAAAATACGTATATCCTAATTCTAGCAGCAGACGCTTTTATCCAAAGCGACTTACAACTGAGGACTAAACCATCGAGTCATTGTAAAGAGGCAAAAACAATGCAAGAAGTGCTCAAGATGGGTTTTTAGTTGTCTTTTGAATGCTGTCAGGATTCTTCATTGAGAATGTTCTGGAGAATGTTGATGAGAATGTTAATGAGAATGTTCCGGAGAGTGATTTTTGAGACTCTCTGTGATGGTACCCCACGAGCCGTCGCTCATTGACTGATCATAGGCTTCTGGTAGGGATGTAGACTCATAAGAGCGATTGAAAGTAAAGAGAGCTGAGCCAGTGGTCAATCTGTAAAGCAAGTGTCAACGCCTTGAACTTGATGTGAGCAGCGAGTGGTAGCCAGTGCAGAGAGATGAACAGCAGTGACATGGGCCCTTTTGGGCTTGTTGAAGACCAGGCAGGCTGCAGCATTCTGGATCATTTGTAGAGGTTTAGTTGCACATGATGAAAGTCCAGCCAGAAGAGTATTGCAGTAATCAAGCCTAGAAATGACCCTGGCCTGGACGAGAAGTTGTGTTGCATGCTCAGTTAGGAAAGGCCCGATCTTCCTTATGTTGTGCATACCAAACCTGTATGATCGAGTCTTTGTAATGTGGTCTGTGAAGGTCAGCTGATCATCAAAGGTTACTCCAAGATTTCTGATTAACCTTGATGGGGTGATTCTTATGCCGTCAAAATCAGTCACCCGGGTGGATCTAGAAAATCATTAAGCAAGAAAGCATTCAATCATCTTCTTAATCTACAGTATACATCATCTGATCTACTACAACTATACTAATTAAAAACAATGATTATAGTGATCCGATTAAAATTGTACCGACTACCTTAAGATGTGATTTTATTCAAATTGGAAAAGTTCGTCTTGAATTTTCACTGAAAGTTAAAGTTTGATGAAAAGGGTATGCAAATTACCATAGGCCTAATCGAAGACAAAGAGTTGTAAACTTTTCCTCCAGAAGCACAGTGAAAACAACAGCACAGTGATCTGCAGATATTTAATTGCTTTCTGTGTGAACTGAGCTTTACTGCACAATAAGTAAATACAAGTAAGCAAGATTGTTTTTTGCTTCTGCTTTATTTGGCATTTTGCAGAATGTGTAACTTTTTTTTATGGTCATCAAGTTATAGTTATAAATCTTCCCGCTGCTTCCTTTTTCTGTCTAGTAGTCTGAGACTTAAACTGCATTGCTCCAATAAATACAAGTACTGTGTACACCATCTTTAAGAGATGTGTGGAAAAATGTGGTCTGACTTTGGACAGAAAAGGAAGTTCAGAAGAGATAAAAACAGCAGCACAGGGAAATGTTTGCACGTAAGTCATCATCAGTATTTAGTCATCATCAGTATTTAGCATCACGCCTCAGAGGGTGTGATATATGATTCTTGTTACTGTGCGCATGTATCTTTACTTAAGTGTTTGAGAGTAATGGAGCTGCAGCAGCATTTTTCTCTGTGTATAAATGAATATGAAGAGGGAGCCACAGAAAACAGGGAGACATGGAAAAATGATGCTGTTAAAACAGAAGACATTTATCAATCTCTTCAGTGCCCACTTGCAAACCAGGGAACTATTAAAAGCACAACACTGTTCTCAGGTAAGACAACAGAGGATGGGTGAATGGAATTTATGGATGGATGGAATTCAAGCAAAATGTTCAGTGTTTATGTATTCATCACTATTAATCTCTGTTTAACAGAGTTTTCTGAAAGGAAGTTTGTGTTTTTACTGTTTGCTGTGAACTTACTTATCTCAACCATCATCCTTACTATCGTGGGCCTGAATTGTAAGTTTCATGACACAGCATTTGAAAAATATTGAGGTTCTAATTGAGAAAAAAAAGTTTTGTGACAATAATGGTTTAAATTGACAAAATATTTAAGAATAATATGCTTTCCACCCCTTAGACTCTCACAACAAAGAAACACTACCAATAAAAGGACAAAAAGGTTAGTTTCAGTTTGTATTAACTGATGAGAAGGAACTAATTTTCAGCATGTATGTGTGAAACATCTGAAGGATAAACTGTTTCAAACATCAGATTATATCAGTCAGATATTTCTGATGTGTGGTTTTTGTGATTTCCTGATTGTCATGTGATCCTGCCATGTGTCTTGTCATTTGTGTTAATCGTCTGGGTTAGGGTTAGGGTTAGGTGTTCCTTGTCTGGTATTAGTCTGTGTATTTAAGCCCTCTGGCCCAATTCGCCTACTTATACTACGCCCTAAAAGTATGTACTCTTTTTGTGAAAAGGGTAGGCCAGCTTTGGGACATAATACTTCATCATCTTTAACGGACAGATCTGTCGCGTGCATCCTATCACCGTAAACTGCCCTGTTGGAGAGATCTAATCCCTTAAACCCCTTTATCTAAACCTCTCTACACAACCGCCGGACTCGAGCGTCCTCCATGTCTGTAGTTGTTGAACACTTTTCACTCGTGTTTGTAGTTCTAACCGAATCCTCGTCCAATGCGCGATGGGTTCTGGGCAATATCAGCTGTTAGAGTGTGCATCGATCGGATATAGTAGACCATCCGGGTATCTCTGGAACACTCATTTCAACATAATGACAGCAGCATTTGTCCAAATTTCAATCTTAACCGATTTCATCAGAAACCAGTGTTGGGTAAGTTACTCTTGTAACAAGCTCACTTGTAACATTGTTTTAAATTACCATAACTTACTAAATTTTATCCCGATTTTCAAACGGTTTGGTTTGTTATAAAAGTCAGAGATGTAGTTATGACACTGCATACTTGTGAATAATAAGTGTATAAATAATTACATCAGGTACCACAGAGCCCGCCAGAAAGCTTGCCTGTGACAAGATGGCCGCTGGTGATGACGAAAGAGACTCCGCCGCAAGACGTCAATCCTTTATTATGGATATCTATGGAGCGTCACATCACTATATAAATGTTCACATATTTGATTGTTCTTAATTTTGATTGTGATTTTCATCGTATGAGCTACAACTGAATAATAAACTGTTAAAATCGCTCTTGTGTGGTTTTGCAAAATGTCCTGGCATGGCAACGAGTATTAATAGAAAACTATTTCTGTCAGATATACAGATATGTAATACTGTTCTTTTTTATCTTTCAGAAGTGTGGCTTCTCTATGACAATGTGTTTTATTTGTTCTGGAGTGACAACAGTGACTGCTACGCTGCTGAGAGCTTCTGCTCAAAGAGGAATGCCAGCCTTGCCATGTTATCTGTGTATAATAAGGTGCAGCAACTGTTCATCCACTTCTCTCTTTTTCTGCAAAAGTAGTACACTATATTCTTTAGGAGAAGAATTAGAAACTGATGCAAACAGAATGGAAAACAATGCATTAACAAACAATACCAGTAGTAGCATAGACATAATAAATACATAGACGCCTTATTGGGTGCTTTGGAGCGTTACTGCGATACGTCAACACGTCCGCCATTTTGCGGAGGGCAAGACTGCACTGTAATCAAATCCAAGTAAATGGTGAGCTTTTGGGTTAAAAAAAATGAAGCGATTTGTACATGGTATACAAAAAGTTCCATCTCTAGTTATTTAAAATCTCGATAGTTAGACTTATAAAACTTTATCATGGTACAGTTCAGTCTATTATTGATTTTTATTTCCACTCCCTTTTTATTCGAAGAGACTGAACTATTTTCATTGTATTTATCAATGGGAAATACATCATGCTAAAATAATCTGTCAGGCCTACTGTGGCTTGCTTGCAAGTCACAGCAGCAGGAGTAACGTGACCAGCAACACATTTCTGCTTCAAATATTGTGCGTAGTTAACAGTGAGTGGTGGTTTAATCAGATGAAAGGGGCGTTTTAGCACGGCCCATGTGTGCAAATCGAATATCAAATCCATAAACCGATTTGTAAACCACAAACGAAAAATGAAAAATCGAGCCAAAATGTAATTTTTCGTTTTTTTTTTTTTTAAACTAAACAAAAAATGAATAAACGAGCTGGTTTTCGTTTCTCATTAATCCATTCCAAACAGGAAATCAAATGACCAAAAGATAATTTTGGACCAAAAGACATTTGAGCTTCAAAAAATGACATTGTCGACTGAAAAACTATTAAATAACTAATTTCGTGACACAAATTTTCTCCTCTGAACATTACTATTACTAATTACATTATGACCAAATACAACCAGAAACAAATGTTCAGTCTTGCTTGTGAAAGATAATTCCTCTAGACCTGTTTTCAATTGTGTGGTGATTTGCACAGCCTGGCCCAAGCAGCAAACAGGCATTTATCTCAATTCTCGTTATGAGAAGTATGAGAAAGTTGACTCCATAATATGTCGGCGCCATTGACGTACGCTCCAGCGGCCAATAGGTGTAGTAGCAGTAGTGAAATAAAAACACAATATTTAAAGCTGCGTTCCGGCGTTTTTCCTCTCTGTCGCCATCTCTGTTTGAAATCTGCAATTGCAGTTATTTGCTGAATTATCAACTTTACGTGAGTCGTACTTCAACACCCTTGACACGGCACAGCGTGGATGAACACAATGTTTGAGGAGAGTGTGAGGCTGTCAGTCACTGCACTGATGACGATACTGGCATTCAGAATCACAGATTATTATTTTTGGATGTATGACCAACATAAGAATTTTCACCGGAAAATGTTATTTGAACTATTAAGAAACATTCACTATTGTTCTGGTTCTGACACTGCAGTAAATCACGCTGATTAAATCTAACAATCACTTATAAGTTATCATGTCACGCAAAACCGTGCAAATTATTCTTCGTTCTCAAATTGTTAATGTTAACAACGTCAGCATTGTGTGACGACATTTAATGTCCTTCCGACATGCATCCTTGTTTTCGCATGAGTCCTTCTGCAGTCTCTTTTTTTCTGTAGCCACTTCAAAGTCCAGTTGGTGAATCTCTAGTTGTCACTGGTGATTGTTGTTTGAACCTTTCTGGATCCGCCATCAAATTGATAAGTTTAATTATATCAAGTGCTGTGAGAAAAGGCTATAAATCTCCTCCTCCAGCATCCTCACACACATAATTGAACTGAATTGCTTTGAATCGATTGAATTGAATTGCTTTGAATTGAACGAATCGATTGAATTGAATCGCTTTGAATTGAACAAATCAATTGAATTGAATTGCTTTGAATTGAGCTACGGCAAGCAGATTGTTTTGAACACTGGCTGGTTATGTATTTTCTCAAATTTGTATTTTGGATCATTTTTAACCCCAAAAAACTACGGACTGCAGCTTTAACAATGCCTGTAACCGATTTTTTAAAATAAATGTTTAGAGACAAAATCCAACATGCAATAATAAAGTGAACATTACTGTACATGAGAGTAAACGGAATTAAAACAGTAATTACATTATTATATTTAGATGATGTCTGAGACTGGGTTGCACATTTGACTGGTTTATACTGAATCCATAATTTTACCTCATACAGTAAATTGCATTATAGTAGCAGAGAGGGTCTGAGAGTGGCTTAAAGTATTCTATATCACTAAATTTAAATGAATTAAAAGTGAACTTTGGTGCACATGTTCTTGAATGTTGTCTGTGTACATGGGCAGGTCTGGTTGATGTCTAGAACCAATGGAAAACAATTTCTGGTGTCAAAAGCCTCATTAGACGGATCTGGAGACAGTGCTTCTTCATTTGGGGTAATGCACTTACATTGTTTTAATTTTTCTAATTAATTAAAATTAAAATGATAATATTTTTTATTTAATTACTTTAATATGAATTTATATGTGTTTAAATGTACATTCTGTGAACATAATTTTGATTCATTTCCATAAAAATGTATTTCTGACTATGTTCTTGTTGTGCCTCAGGATGATGCTGATGATCATGAGTGTGGCATCATGACCTCTGATGTTGATACGGATAATGGAGAAGGATTTGTGTGTGAGAGAGTAACTCAGTTCTTCACTAAAGATGCCTGAGATCAGAAACATTTGTGCTTTTCTGCTTGAGTAAATTAAAAAACAGAAAAATACTGAATTCTGAGAGCGGATAGTTTCATTTTAGAGTAGTGAGGGAACCCAGGTAATTTGCAGACTTCAAACTTTCGCATCATCATATTCATCCGTACTTCTACCCCAACCCCTTTTCTGATGATTGTTTTCTTCGCAAGCAGCACTTGTCCTCTTAACTCCATGAATTTTTAAACTGAGCAAATATGCTTGTGTACTTGATCTATCTTGTTTTTAAAATAATAAATTATTTATATATCATGAATTGTTACTGGCAAATAACTTTTCATATTATTTCTTGCTGAGTTTTGCTATCATTTAATTTGTGCAAGGCAAAACTCTAAAGAATAGGCTCACTCTATTGTCTTCAGAAGTTAGAGATGAGAAGTTGTCTCCTTTCAAGGCTTTCCAATTACTGTTATTTGTTTTTTTTTTTTTTTTGGCAAATGAAATTATGGAATAAAGTACAGTAAAAACAATGAGGTCTGTCTTTGTAAAATTATTCAATAAATTCAGTTAATTTCTTATGATCACTTCACTTATTGATTTTTTTTTTTCTCCCAAGGCTGGCAAAAGAGTTAGGCAGAGTTAGGTATTTCCTCGAAGTAAATTTAGACGGATTTAAAATAAGCTTAATGCTGGGGCCACACCACATAATATTTGGACCTATTCTCCCCTTCAGACAATCCTAAATGAAGTCCCGATTATTTTGATGGTTCTACAGATTATTCAGGGGGTGAGGTGTGTTTAAAGAGACCGAAGCTGCTCGGAAGAATCGGGGACGCCCTGAAATATTCGACATGTTGCAACATGTTGCAATTTGTTCATGTGTGTTGTTGTCTTCTTCACATCGAGGCACACCACACAATATAGCAAAAAGGAAAAGGAGCAAAACGGTTAAATAAAGCATTATTTTTCCGCGTGTTTGTGGTCTCTCACAACTTAAAAATCTTATTTTTACTCTTCTGATTGTCAGGTGGAACGAAACGATATCCAATCAGAAAGCGGGTTGACAAGGAAGCACAGACGCGGTCATGGTGCTTTATTCTCCATGGTAAAATGCGGTGATATGTGGAGGATAAGCGTGTCAATTTGTGGCAATATTCGGTCAAAAGCATTCCAAACACTGCCTATCCGCAAATTTATTCTTCTGAGATCTAATGTATCGAGAGATTTTGCGAGATTTCAAGTTTTCACAGTCGGAACTCTGATTGAAAATTTGTTCGTGTCTGTTGTTGTCTTCTTCGCATCGCGGAGCAAAACGGTTAAAAAAAAACCCATTAACTTTCCTCGTGTTTGTGGTCTCTCACAATTTAAAAATCTTATAAGATTTTTATTTTTTTTGGTGTGGCCCCAACATTATGGGGAAAAAAACCCCTGATAGAATTAAGTCACATAAAGTCGCATGAGTTTTATCCTGGGGTTTAGCGCCCCCTTCCTGTAATGTTCTGAAGTGTTGAACTGTTTTAACCGTTAATTATTGCAATTAAATAATAACAAAAGGTAAATCTAACTAGTTACATCAAGCTGGTATTCTCTCTTTCATTTCTATTTAAAATAATGTTGATATTATAGCCACAATGTTTTACTGTCTCCATTCAAGACTGACCATCTGAGGTGATCAAGAGAATCAAACAACGCAACAGAGTCGACTATTAATCAGGTATAACATACAAAATATGTTTGTTGTTGTTTGTTTCAGTTCACTATAAAGTTACTAACTATTGTTCTTTCAAAAGAAGTGGCGTATTAAAACAAGCTTGCAGCGCTAAATATCAAACCGTTTCAGCGATTTCTAATGTAACTTAGCCTAACTAAACTTAGCGTCATTGTTCAAATTAACGTTACCTGTTGCGATATATGTTTTAAGTTTCACTTAACAGATTTAAATATCAGCAGCAAGACATTGTTCATTAGTTTGTTTTTATTTCGTTTCTAATCGATAGTCTTTCCTAATGATGAAATCAGGAGATTCTCTGACACGGTGGCTGAACTCTGATATTTTCATCGTGTTTGTGGTGTTGCTGTTGCTCCTATTGCTGGTCATCTTTGCTGTATGCTGGCTCATGAGACGACACCACACACAGAGACCAACAGAGTATTAAAACATACACAATCTCATATAGGCTCCCTTCACTCAGTCTAATCCCACTTCACCTTATTACGGGTGCTCATTCCTGTTCCTGGTGATCCTGCATTGTTCAGTTCAAGTAGCTACTGGTCCAACACATCCGTTCTGTAATTACCAAGCATTTCTAAATATCTTAATTATATAATTATAGATAGGCCTAACTGGAATTAAACTTTGATGGAAGGTAGATCTCCAGGAAAAGGATTGAGCACCTCTGCCATTTAATATGCCAATTCTCGCTGACGTTATGAATGACCTTGCTCTCTTCTTCTTAAGGAAATTGGCTGAAATAGAGATTACTCCAACTGATGATGCAGACATGGGGAACTCTGCCAGATTCACCTTGAAGATTGTGACTGAGCAGACACATGCAACAGAGCTTGTGGAGATGTTAACTCGTAGAGGTTGCTCTGTTGAGGCTTCAGATCGCCATAGTAAACCCTCTGGCTCTGCTGTTAATGATGATGACAACGATGAAGATTACACTGATGCGTTACAGAATATGTAAATCATTGTGTAGTTTAGATTTTTTTTAATCACAGAATTTAGTTTTCTTGAATTAATTAAATTCTAAATATAGAACTATGTAAACAAGTGATTTTTTTATTTTGTGTGCAACAAGACAAGAGATAACTTTTTCTATTTTTATTATTGAGCACATGAGTGTACTCATGGGCCCCAGCATCCCCACAACACTAAACAGGACAAGCGGTTTGGAGATTGGATGGATAAGTCTGACATGACAAAATGAGGCTGTAGAAATGTACAATGTTACATTTTGTTGGAGAATGTAATTGGCTATCAATACAGATACACAATCAAACTAATGTCTTCAATTAGATTAGGGTTCAATGACATCTGTGAAGATCAGGAAGTACATGAATATGAATTTAACACAATTCGTCTGTGCAGATTTTGAACTGGAATTTGGTCAGCCTTTGTGTTTTTTTTCACTCTTTTCTGATCTAATCTGACTTTTTAGATATTAACTATAACAAATTAGTAAACAAACTTACTAATTAGTAACTTACTTTGCTGCTATCGACTTTTCTGGTGAGAAAAAAATAAATAAAAACATGTTATCAGCATGTTAATCAAATACGAATGCACCCACATGTAAACATGCATTAAAGGCACAATATGCAGGATTTTTGCAGTAAAATATCCAAAAAACACTAGGCCAAAGTTATAAATTTTGTTTAGTTGATTACTTACAATATCCAAAATGTTTCCAACTATTTGTAAATCGTGAGAAAATTTTGATTTTTAACCAAGGAAACGGGGCGTGTGAGAAGGGGTGAGGAATCGCCAGTCAATGACGTGATATCCGTGTTACCCCTGGTTTCCGCCAGGTCTGACCTCATCCTGCAATAGTAACCATGGCGACAGACGGGGACAACTGGGTCGGTTACGCCCGTTATGCGTGCTCAACAGCGTGAGCATCCCTAGCAGGGCTTTGTTCAAACCATGGACCATGGCAAGCAGGCTTTGAGACAAAAAGAGGACTAAAACGAAGATCAACATCTTTCGAGATGCCGAGAGCTCCACGTCCGCGACTAACTTTGACTTGACAGAGACGCGAGTGTTGCATGTTACTTGAGCAAAATCGTTTGTCCATGTGAACTACAGAACCTGCTTTTACAGTTCATAGCCTAATTGTATGCCACCTGGGCATTAATAGATGTCACGGTTATGTAAATGATAATGCAGTTGTACATAATAATACATAATGTTTAATTTTAACACAAAATGAAAATGAGTTTAAGAAAAATGCATAGGTTTCAATATTCATACTACGTTTATATGACTCAGTAAAGTCATGACATTCGTTTCTATTTATGTAATGAATCATAATGCGATCGTATTATTTAACGTGCTATTATTATGTCTGAGATATCAACCACTGGTCGATAATTTTTGATTGCATATAACACTGTAAGTTAATAACACTGTATTAACTGTAAGTAACAACTGGTAAAATGTACGCCTATCTCATAAAAACCATAATGATACTTAAATATTCTCTTCTCAGCCTTGTTTACAGGCGTGTTACAGCTGTAACTGAAATCCCATCCGTTTTCTGATAGGCATTTCGCAAGGATTCCTGGGTAGTTAAAGTGCGTGGTGGAGCCTGCACGTATGCGCAGGGGGCGCTGCTGAGCACACTTCAGAGCGTTAAAATCTATGGTTAAAAATGCTAAATGGGACGGCCTACGGACTCGTAGACGGCGAGCACGCGCAATCTTCACTGTATGATCTCAACGTCTCTGTTTATTTTCTCTTAACATTTCCACATATAGCTTGCTAGCCTAGTAGCCTATATTGTTTGTTAATCTGCATAGTTCGTCACATACACAACACAGTGCCATCTAGTGGCTTTCTTGAGTAAAAGGCGCAATCAACGTAATATCATTAGTCCAAAGTCCAAACTAAGTAAAACTACGCCAAAACCAATTTGATTTATGACTCTACACTTCATAAAAATGAGTCACAAAAGCACCTGGTTTCCACCAACAATACAGCAATAATAAAAGCAAAGCATAACATACTGCAATACAAATTTAGCAATGTAGCAGACAAATTCTCCATTCCTACCTTTCTTATACTGTCTGTTCCTACCATCTAATTAGCTCCAGAGTCGTCTCCACACACGTTGTTATTGGTCAAAGTCGTCTTTGTCAACGACGAAACTTTAAACCACTTAGCATAAGCTTTGCTGTAGGCCAACAAAACCACCAGAATTTGATTCTCGGATCGCATGCACTGCGCAGCTGCGCAAAGGAATTACGTATAAACAATACTGTATGCTTAACTATATAAATTGCATTGTTTATATTATTCATTTATCCTTAAACACAAACTGCATATTGTAATTTGAAGAAATAAAAATACTAACACAAAAATAACAAATTGAAAGGTCTGCTGCTGGAGACTTGCCATTGGCTGTTGAATGTGAATAATTAATGAGGTAGGTCTTTGCAAGGTTTAGGTGCTGTTTTGGGATGTTTTAACAGTCATTTAAGAAAATAATTATATTTCAATTTACGTTCTGTGTAATGCGTTGAATAAAGAATTTCTAAATCATTTCTGAAGATAATGTATTATACATTCCTACCGTTGTAGAGCTTACCGTTCCTGTGAGAAAATATGCAGAAAGACCGAGCTCTTTAAGATAGTTATTATAAGCATATACATGATATTAACATCTATTATTAAGCACATGCGTGGGTGGGCACGGGGGGGGGGGGGTATCTGAGTTACTTTTTCAGTATTTGAAAAAGTAACTCAGATATTTTGTTGTAAATGTAAAATGCATTACTTAAGTACTCACTAAATAAGTAAATTTAAAGCACTGGCCGAAGTAACTTAGGCCTAGCACTGAGGCTTTTGGATGAGAAAACAGTATGTTGTTGATGTTTTACCCCATACTATCCACACGGTGTCCTCAGAGGCATAACTTTGGCACACAGACGCATGTGAACGTTCCTGTCTATCCGTGCGAGGGATGTGAAGGGTTATTTTTGTTGTTGTTTTTAATGGCCGCCTCAGAGTCTCTGAGATGAAAACCAGGCGGTACGTCGGCACACGCGCGCTGACGTTCACACTCATGCCTATTACGATCTTGCAGCTTGGCAGGCAGGGCCGGCCCGAGGCATAAGCGAACTAAGCGGCTGCTTGGGGCCCCCTGGCCACCAGGGGGCCCCCTAATCGAGGTTATTTTTTATTTTTATTTTTTTAGATGACTTAAACAAGTGACATAAATCAATGAATGAATGAATATGAATGAATGAATAGTTTAAGACAACAAAATTCTGATTTAATGGTCAATATACCTGCCTACAAGTTACAACTGCTGCTCTGTCTGCCAGCGTTTAAGTCATACGCATAATCTTCTAGACACCTCGCGCGTGCATAGACAATTCGTGCGCAACTGCGCCTAGTCACGGTATCGGTTTAAGTTGGAGAAAATAGCCCGCAGGAGAACTTATCCTTCAAGGTGTAAGGGTAGCAGTTTGAATAAATAATAAACATAGCAGTTTGAACTCTTCTCCACTTTATTATACCACACATCAGATCTCCAAACACCCGCGACACTCCAGTAGCCTAGCAAGTGCGCACGACCCATCTACGGCAAGCCCCGAGGGGAAAAAATACATTGCATACACACATACAACGAGCGCCAGAACATCATAACCGGTATTATAGTAACAGACTGTGTTGATTATGTCATGTACTATATAACAAAGTCTGTTACAATAATAATAATAACAATAATAAAGATTTTGAGGATAGTTACTCTGTATTGAGACAGTTGAGAAATAGGCTAGTAATATTTTTAGTTTTCAACAATAGCTGAGACCCAGAAAGTTTGTTTTTTTTTAATTTAGATTTTTTTTCATGTCATCATCATTGTTTAGAGCATAATAAACAAATGGTAAAAAAAAAACCTTTTTGAAAAATTATATTTTATTCATATGTAATACTTTGTCCTCTGTAGTGGACACCAGGACTCAGTTGTTAAAATTAAATGACATACAATGTGTAGGCAAAAACAATGGGATTTTTTTTCCAATCACCAATACATTTTGGGGTTTCAGGATTTTTTTGAACTAAAATTTGTATAAAGATGATTATCAACTATGTTATGAAAGATATGATGGAATTAATTGATACACCAATTTACTTTATGCAATATATGGGTAAAATTGGCATAAATTAATATTCCCATTCAATGCAAAGTATCTATACACTGTATCTAATTTGCACATTAATGTGTTCTTGGAGCAACATTTAATGAGGAAAGAAGTGTAAGCATTGGCGTAATAATAAGCAACATTTTAATAATAATATCTAATATGTCATAAGAATATTGACGTATAATTTATTTACATATTCACTTGTTATGTCTCCCAGAATGCCTGATAAACATGATTTATGTCCTGATGTTCTCTACAGTGGACATGAATGAAATCAATGCCCTGTAACGGAAAGTCATTTTTTTCATTTGAAACCCCATAACATTTTCATGAGATGTTGGTTGATGAAATACAATTTGAAAAGTAGTTAGATTTAAATTATAATTACAATATATTACCATATTTCAATAAGAGTGCTACATTTGATCACTAAATTAATGTTAGACATTTTTAAAGACCAAGGAGAAGTTGTTTTCATGGTGAAACCACCAAACATTTGGTATCTCTGTATTGCCCTGAATGTGCTCTTTACAGGACATCCAGAAAAAAAAAATGTGACATGCATGGTGTCAGAGAAATACACTAAAATATAATGTCCACTACAGTGGACAAAAGTCTATTCCTGGGTCCCAGGAGGATAGGCCAAAGTATCATTGCTCTTACGTTTAATTTCTCAGTTTTGTCATAATTTTAGCAAATAATTTATTGTATATGTTTTGAGACAGTTTTAAGACTGTTTTCAAACTTTTTTATTTAAGTAGGCATCTATTTTTTTTATTAATACATAACCTCAGTGTATTCATTTATAATGTATCAGTTTTGCGTGACATTTATGTCAATAATCGTCAAACACAGGTGACTCCGCGTCGTGGGAGGGGCCCCCAAATCAAATTCTGCTTAGGGCCCCCAAAAGGCTCGGGCCGGCGCTGTTGGCAGGTGGTTTATCCTTGAAAGTCATTTCAGAGGCGGGTTTCTGTCTAGACTTCAGTCACACAAGCAAGCACATGCACGCGCACCTTTCCAATATGGACGTCAATCTGAAAAAAAAAAAAAAAAATACACGGGACACTTATTTCAGTTCTCTTCTATTCTTTTTTCATTTTTTCCATAAATTGGAGTGACATTGTCTTAATCACAGGCAATAATCATTAAGGAATTTCTGAATTTAACAGACATTTCTACTATATCCATACCATAAAGTCTCCCATGCCCACCCGAGACCAATATTTAGCCTTATTCACAGAACTATACAGTAGCCCACAGCCTAATAACTCTCTTATTAAAACCCCTTTATACACAATTCTCATTGAATTTCATAGCATTAGATATACAGAAAACAGATCAACTTTGTAACTTTACACAGACCCCTGATTGTGCATATCAGACCCTTTCCCCCAATAACTTGCAGGTACTTAAAGACAAAAATTACTTTTCTTTCTTTTTTTAGTTTCTTTTTTTCTTTTTTCTGGACTATATAAGTAGTCCTTACCTACAGTATACATATGACCTTGGCTGTATTTCTACATCACTTAATACCATGTTAATGTTTACTGGAAAGAAAGTCTGGGGACATACAATTTTATACACCAAACCACTCTATAAAATTGTCAGTCTGAAGAAAGAAAAATCCCACTGCTAGAATGCAGAATCTTAAAACTTCCCACCGTTTTAGAATAAAAAGCATCTTTTACAGCTGCCGTGTATTAAATAATTAAATAATAAGACAATAAGGCAATCAAAATATAGGAAAGAAAAGACATGGAGTAAAACAGGATAGCCAAACACACTTTGCAGTTGGATTGGACCGACAGAAACAGACAAACACACACACACACACACGTTTTTATGCTTTCTTTGTTCCTGTAATGGTATCAAAAGGTGGATTTAAAAAAAGGCATATGTCCTGCCCAGGATTAGAAGCAAACACGGAGGTTAAAACTCTTAAGGGGACATTATTAAGCCCACCCCACATTATAATCACCACCTGTTGTTCTGTTTTAATCCTTAGTACAGATAATGAAGTATGTGAACAATTCAGTTGTGAAATATGCATGTTATCTGTAATCATTTACAACCACTGTATCATTGATGTGGATGATGAAGATTAACACTGTAAGCAAATGTCACCTCTAAACACTGCATTGAATGTCACATGTATTACGTATAAATGAACCTGTATATAAACATAACCTAATGATAATCTATCCATACATGATAGAAAAGGCATTCATATAAGCACTATAAGGCTTCATGTTGATTCCTGGTAACTGAAGGCAGCTGTTGTAAGATACGAGTTTATATTAGCAAATAGGCCTAAGTGATAAAAAATATGCAGATTGTGCAGGCAAAAGAGAAAAATACTAGTTACTAAAAATCTGATATTAAAAGCATGGTTTGCTTATTTTTCTCAGTGCATGATTAATGGTAGTGTGTGAGTTAAGAATTTGGCACCTAAAAAGTACACAGTTTTTGCAAATTACATACACTACACAAAACAAATTCTAGATTAATCAGAAAATTGTAAAAGCCACCAAAATGAATTGTCTTTGATGGATATCTGCTGTCTGGCCAAGTATGTGTGTTCAATTTATATAGCAGTTCAGTCTGCTGATAAAAGAGCTGCATTTGAGAGAGGCACAGTTTAAAATCACAGTTTGTGTGTGATCGTAGTAAATTGGGGATGAGAAATACTACAATAGTACACTACCCTGGTTATATGGAGGACAATAGGCCATGGACACACACACACACACACACACACACACACACACACACACACACACACACACACACACACACACACACTAGCAGTTTCAGTTATACTGATCAGATCTCTATCAGTCATCAGATTTTGTGCTTCCAGCCATCTGATCCCACCATGCTGGATGATATAAATGATATATATCATCCAAAAACTGGATGATATAAATGTTTAAGTGTTTATCTGTGTGTTGAGGAGCAGATGCATTCACTAAAGTTTAAATCACACAGTGTTATATGCAATCAGTTTTGACCTCTCTTTGTGTGTGTCCAAATCTTTTTTAGTGAACTGAAGCACAGCATGGCCGAGGCTTGGATGACTGATCACACACGCACATACACAAATCCAGCACAGTAAGGCAATCTGAATACACAAACCATAGAAAATAAAGCGCTTCCATCTATTCTTCCATCTCTCTTATACTGTAACTGTTTTTCAGCTTTGTTCAGCATAGCGAACACAAAGGAATGGGAAGGCAAAGGAACAAACAAACAAACAAATAAATAAAATCTAAAGCATTTTTCTTTTACAGAGCACACTGAGACCTGTGTAAAAATGGCTACAATCAAAAATGAGGCACTTTTATAAAAAAAAACTTTGTATTTAGATAGATAGATAGATAGATAGATAGATAGATAGATAATAGATAGATTCTCAGTAATATTATGTTTGCTATATATATTTCATCTATTTAACATCTCTCTTACAATAATTTAAAGTTTGTGGAAGAGGAAAAAAGGAATATCATTGGCTCCTTGTTGGCAGTGGCCCTTCATAAGTGGTTGAAGGACACGTCCATTTCAGTGATCTCTGGTGGTAATGTCCGTCTTTTGGCACAATTTTTATTTTGGCTGAACCAATGACAGCTAATGAGAGTAAATGTTGTTATGAGGCAAGGGCAGTTAAGAGTCCACTGCTGAGGGATGTGGGCAATCGCACCGTTTTTCAGATCACATCAGGTGCACACACAGACAAACGCATTCACGCAGGAAGGACAAGTGCTGACTGGACTGAATGCAGGAGCACATTAACAATCTGCAAAAAGAAAAAAAGAGAGATACTCGGTTAGGCACCTTAAAAGTTTTTCTTTCTTTTCTTTTTTTAAATCTCAGAAATTTGTCGAGGAACCATAATTACAATCATTGACTTTACATAAAAAATACAAATATAATGTCCACTGCAGATGAGCGATAAAATAAATGAGTTAAAATACACATAATCTACTACCATTATATACCATTCAAAGATTTTTGTTCTGAGAAATGAATGCTTTTATTCAGCAAGGATGCACTGATCAAAACTGACAGTAAAGACAATTATAATACAACATGAGATTTCTATTTCAAACTAATTCTGTTTTTTCTATTCATCAAAGAATCTAAAAAAGTTCATGTTTTACACAAAAATATTAAAGAGCACAACCGTTTTCAAAATTGAAAATAATAAGAAATGTTTCTTGAGCTGCAAATCAGCATATTAGAATGATTTTTCTGAAGGATCATGCGACACTGAAGTCTGGAGTAATGATGCTGAAAAATCAGCTTTACCATCACTGGAATAAATTACATTTAAAATATTGTAAGAATAATTCCAAAATTGCATTTTTCCCAGTATTTTTGATCAAATACATCTAAATAAAATAATATACGAGGTTTAAGTTACAAATGTATCAGCCCCTGAGAGAACAGCCCAATTGGATACTCTCAAATTCATTCTTGCCATTACTTCTCAACTAACAAACTTCACCAAAAAGTTGTCACGTTTCCAAAGATTAATTTGTGCCCTAAAATGGGGGTTATTTTTTTTTTTTTTTTTTTTTTTAAACATCTGATTGTTTAAAATCTCAAGGCAGCTAACACATAAGTATCTGTTTTCTTAGAGTTGCCTTCAGATTTGAGGTGTCTTCTGTCTTGGTCATTGGAGGACACTGGTGCCAGCTCTAAGTCTCAATGTTATAACAAACAGCATACCAGAGGATAACACAGTAACAGAGGCACCAAACCACTTTCAGTTTAGTCTACAGACAGGAGAAGATTTAGATACACACACACACACACACATTCAAGCAGAAAAACACACTTGAAAATGTAAAAAAAGGAACTGAATAGACAGTATGATAAGTGTCACTAGAAAATGATCATCACTTTGATTGTTTTATTTTGTTTACTCAAGAGTCGCAGTTCTTTCAGTTTATATTCCTCTCCATTCTCAGTATAAAAGCATCATTGAACAGGTCCCATAGGATTTCCAAAAAACTTCCCTGCACATGTTTAAAGAGCATCAAAGAACTCTATTTCTGTACTTTTTATTGCATTGCAATGCATTTACACATATTACCGGTGCCCACACACGCACACCCACACACACGCACACACACACACACACACACACATCTGTCTATGCACAATTAGGCCAGACAGGGTCACAGACAAAGATGTAGTGCAGTATGTAAACAGCCAAGTGAGAGGCTCCTCACACACAATCAACAAATGCAATAGCTACACAGTGCTCGCACTCCAAACATTTCTCCCGGTAAAAGCCAGTGTAGACTTATACACAATTCAATGATTCCTAAATGTGCATGAACACACATGAACATGAACGGTTTTTGCCAACAAGTGCGTCCAAAAGCATTACAGGCCTGTAAACAGCAATATTTACAGTTGCGTCTCTCTTTTAGTGGCGCTTCCATTTTTTAGCATGATTCTCGCACTAAGTTTTGCAAGTGCAAAAGTGGAGGGTGGGTCCACCTTCTTCATGTGGCCAATCAAATGAGCTTCTTGCTAAGGCTCGGTTTACTCTGATCTGATTGGTTCAATAAACACGCCAGTCACCAGAACGCATCTTTATCTTTATTTGGCTCAGAAATGTTCTGATTGCCGAAATAGTATTTTTAATGCACACTTACATGTTAAATAAATAAATGAAAAAATAACTAACTAAATAAATAAATCATGATTTCAAAAAGAGATGGACTGCAGCTTTAAACCATTATTTTAAGTCTCGTAAAACTTGGTTGGTACTGTACTTTTTGGTACTGTTGTAAAGTACTGGCAACCACAGCTGATTATTTTGTTACTGTAAATTTAAATCCTTTTAATTGTTTTTAGCATAAATTTAAATCCTGTAAAACCTAAAAGTTTGCTACTGCATCCATCCCAGTGGCTCATGATGAGTCATTACCAAAAAAAAGAGAACATACATGACAGAGACACAATCAAAGAGACAAGCAGAGAGCTGTATCCATGTTTTTGGGTCTGTTTATGTAGGCTACTTTGGAAGGTATGTGTAAGGAAAAATGTGATAGAGAATGTTGTATGGATCTGTGAGAGAGAACTTGCCAAGCATAGAGTGAATTAAGTTTAAAAGTCCAAAAGAGAGAAAGACAGAGAGGTAGAGGTAGAGAGAGAGAACAAACAGGTCGTTGAGTACATGTTCATTAAGCCAACTATATTACAGCTAGATTGGTGTTTACAGCGATTGCAGTTAAGATGCATTTAAGTTATATTCACTATCATTTAAAAGTTTGGAGTCAGTAAGATTTTTTTTTTAAAATAAATACTAAATACTGTTATTTCGAAAGTATGCAATTAATTGATCAAAGCTAATAGTAGATACATTTGTTTCAAATAAATGTAAAAAAAAAAAAAAAAAAAAAATATTAAGCAGCACAAGTGTTTTTAACAATGAACAGTAACAGGAAGAGTTTAAACAGTGGTTTCTGAAGGATCATATGACCCTGAAGACTGGAGTAATGAATGACTGCTGAAAATTCAGCTTTGCCATCACAGGAATAAAATACATTTTAGATACAGATATTTTAGAATATGTTTACTGTATTTTTGATCGAATAAATGCCCTCTTGGTGAGCATGCGAGATTTCAAAAACAGTGAAACAAATCTTACTGACACCACTGTGTTTAAATAAACTCTTGTATGCTTCACAGAGGCACAATTGAAACAATGCATCACACGACTCACTGACAAAAAACAAGATGCATAATCATTGTCAAGATGTCAATAACAAATATTAAAATATTTCAGTGATGTACAGGAACAAATAACAATGATATTTTATCTCCCAATAGAAATGCTCATTTGTGACATCACTAGTTGTTGGCGGGGCCCCATCTCATGGTTCTTGGACGAGCCCCACAAATTTGGTGTATATGTGCGTGATCTGGTCAGCTGCCACCTTCACCTTACTGTATGAATTGCCACAGACTCTCAAGAGAAATGAAATGAATCCACTCTCGCTCACTCACTCACTCTCTTCTCTCTCTCTCAACCATACAATATTAAACACATGCATTACAATTCTCTCTTTCTCATCCTCTAAACTAACAGTCTAACTGTGCCTATACCCACTCCTGCTCTGGAGTGGATACACATGAGTGAGTGTTTGTGTGTGACAGTATGTGTGTGGATGGTTTGTTAACACCAGACAGATCAATTGGCACTGCTCTCCGTACACCCACTTGAGTTAACTATAATCTCCTTGCAGACAAGCACCTACCCACACACACACCCATAAGCATACACACACATATATACTTTATATATATTTATTTATATGTATTTTGTTTGCTTAACATAAATATAAATATTTCCTCTGTCCATTTCTTATTGCCTTATCAGTTGAGTGTCTAGACTGAAAATGAAAATCTTAGGATTTCAAACGGTGAATTCAATGGCTTATTGTCTATCACGGTAGGCACAAGCAAAAGTTCTAAAAATGCTCCTGGATAACTTAATTATGGAGATTATTTATTTATTTATTAGAACACTAGAATATTTACACATTTACAACTTGGCTTTAACAAACCTGTCAGTGATTTTAAAATAAGCCTGAGACCTGCTGAAAACTCCCGCATTGCTCGTCACCGGCATAAGCTATGTATTTTGCAAGCAGGGACCAGCATGGGATGCTGGTTGCTGGTTATCAGTATGGGAAGCGGATGTGCTGGTGGACCAGCTATACCGGCTAAGATTTGCTTGAGAACCGCATGGTCCACGAGCTAGAACAGCACTATACCAGCTCTAACATAAACCAACCTCAGGACCAACTTGGAATTCATGCTGGAATTTTCAGCAGGGAAGACCTTGATTAGCTGGTTGAGATGTTCAATAAGGTAAAGTGTTCGGCAGAAGCAAGTGGTTGGTTGAGGGTCTGTGACTGTCATTCTAGATTTTACGCCTTTGCAGACCTCTACCCTAATGAGTGTGGATGTATGTGTGTGATACTATTAAAGGCTAGGAGAGGATGGGAGCTGAGCTTTGGCTGACAAGCAGAGACAGAGAAAGAAAGACAGCAGGGGGAAGAAACGAACAACACTCTCATTAGTATCACTAAGGAAACGAAACGGACGAGTGTCTTCCTTTGACGTAGGACAAATCAAAAGTCCAAAATAAGCATCAAATCTTCTTACACTGCAAAAGCAAGTGTTAAAAAGTTAGACAATAGGTTTGAATTGGAATAAACCAGGCTTAAAACTGAATGTAACTGGCAGATTAATCACTGTCAGGGTGAAGTTTGTCAATCTGCAGCTACGGTAGTCCTCTGACGTCACGGTGCCCAGCTAACCGCGGAGTGGCTAACCATTCATTGGCAGCTAAGTCAGTTGCTATTGTCAGTCTTGTTATTGTTCGGAGAAGTGGTTTGTGTGTACAGCTAAGGGGTTAGACTGTTTGCCAGACGCTTCCGTGTAGGCGTCATATACTGACGCTTTTGAAATTTCGTCTACATCCAACGCACATGGCACCCTTTAGCGTCAATATGAGACGCAGATATATATGGGCCAGAAAGCACCTCCTAGTGGTCTAACCCTAAACCTACCATAACTGAACAAAGCTCTGTGCGTGTTATATTGACGCTAAAGGGTGCCATGTGCGTTGGATTTAGACGAAATTTCAAAAGTGTCACTATATGACGCCCTAAGATGAGAACGTGTTGGCCAATACCAGTCCGGGTCTTTCCTGTTTGAGGCCAAGCCCCCTCCGCTGGTAATTCCTGTGCCCTTATTACAAACCCAATT